ACCACTACTACAACTACTACTACGACGATGACAGCGACGATGACGATCAGTACTACCGACGCAGAGGAGTACATCTGCATGAGATAGACATTTGCTGCAGGTGGCTGGACATCAAGTTTCTCCTGGAGGTAGTCATCCTGCCCCTGCTGGTGGTTTCGGCTGCTGCTGCAGCCGGGGACCGGGCATGGAAGGACATGAAGAATAACGTCTGCATGCACAGCTTCATGCCCCTTGATATAATCAAGACCACCACCCTGTCATCGTCGTCGTCATCATCATCACCTTCATCATCATAGTCGTCGCGGTCTTCATCACCACAATGATCAGTATCAATACCGTCGGCTTCAGTGTGAGAAACTGAAACATGGCCTCGTTTACAGTTTTCGGAGCTTTCCTCTGCGCCCCCTGTGTTTGCAAGGTTTTCGAGCAGCTTGGTGGCACCCAGAGCTCGTTTCAACATCTCCGCTTTTCCAAGCTTCGCGCATCAACCTCGTGCCTGCGACATCATCAGATGACTCCAAGATCATCCGAGTATCATCCATCTGTGCAGGTATGGCAGCTTGCCTGTGTGGCTACTTCTGCTTGTGGGTGTGGCTGCAATGCACCATCGTCCGACAGCCTCCTGGCTCCAGCGGACTCGGTGCTGCGCTTCTGCGACTCCGGTCATCCGCGTCACGACCCGAGGATCAATCTGATCGACATCTACACTGCAGCAGAGAACGGTAACACCCAAGAGGTGAAGGACTGCAGGAAGGTACGTCATTCCTGGCCTAGTAGAACTCGAAAGAGCAACGATTGCTTTCGCCGTCGTCGTCGGAGCTGTAGTATATAACGAGGAATGCTCGAGAGTAGCTGCGGCAGTCAAGCCATCAGCGATGCTTCTGGTTTTGGCAGGATGTTATGGAGAAGCTGGTGGAAGAGCTGAAGGAGTTGACCCGTGCCCTGGCGAACAGCAGTGAAACGGTTGAAGCTCGGAAGAGCTGAGTTGGCAGAAAGCACCGACACAGCCAATGCAAGGGTCTGCTGTGTCGTCCATCTCGCCTTGTGCACAAGGCAGCGCTTCGGCCGACATCGACGTGAACAGGTCCGGGGCCCGCCGGCACTCGGATGAAAGGACATGACATGCTTGTCTACGAAGGCCCGATGTGGATGGCAACACCCCTTTGATGCTGGCAACGCGGCAGGGGCATGCGGAGGCAGCCTTCGGTTAAAAAGGATTCCTAGCCGATGAAGCTGTCACAGAGTAACAGTGTCCGGGACACACCGAGTTAGAGCGCCCTACTTGACCTTGGCTGAACCTTTCGGCAAAACAGGAGCCCAAGGCAAAGCCCATGTCTTCAACAGCTGCCCAGACGATTTATATGGAAGGCCCCCCCCAAAAAAAATCTTTTGAGTCCGGTCGCTGGCAGGTCTGCGAGTGCCTTCTACAAGCTGGCGCCTTAGTGAGCACCAGGCGGGGCGGTAGGCGGAGATGTAGGAGTTTATGGCTGTAGGCGGGGAGACTCTGCAAGCAACCTCGTGCTGACGGGGGGAGGGGCGGGGGGGGGGAGCACTGCGATGGGTCTAGCTGCTAGCTTGCTGGCTTGTGCAAGGAAATAGTTCTCATGCTCACTGTGATCGTCGGAACGTTTGAGCATGCGAAAACAGTTACCTTGGGGCTTCTCGGTTCACCGACCCCGCGGTATGCTCCCAGTTTTGGCGCCGCACGGTCGCTGCTGGAAACCACAGCGCAGCAGGGCAGGAAAGTCAAGAAAACCACCGAGCCATGATGACACCACCGATGATTGAAATGACCAAGCATCTCATGCGGACCCATATGACGTTAATGCCAAAAAGGCCAGCCGCGATCCCAAGGATCCGCCGTCCAAATCCCTTGAACTTGCAAAGGCCCAAGAGATAGTTGCTGCTGGTGGTGTGTTTGGCCTTTTTCTTTTCTGTTTGTTTGAGTGGCCGCGACTATCACGGTTGACAGCATCCGAGTACCCCCCCAAAGCCGAAGCCTCGAAATCCCGAACGCCCTGAAGCCCACAAGTCAACCCCAAACCCTAGACCCTAAACCATGACCCCATAAACTCTAATAGTCTAAGCACTTAACGCCTAAACCCACGGCGCCAGGCATTCTGGGAAGCGGTCCCATCCACGGAACTTTTTCACGCGTCCTGCCCAACGGGGGTGGACGGCGCTGCACGTGGCCGCATGGCAGGGCGAGGCTGGGCTCGGAGGGGAGGCTCCTTAAAGGGGAGCCTTGAAGTCTCAAAGGCGAGGGGGGAGCCCCGAGAGGTGTGGCTTTAGGGTTTAGGGTTGCTTGTTGCTGACTTAGAAGCTTGGTAGCAGCTGCTGAGTGCTTTCCACCGATTTGCACCACGAATTTAAAATTCGTGAGGGTACCCTCGCTTCTTAGCCGAGGGCCGAAGCGGCGAAGTAGAACAAGAAATGCTAAGCAGAGATGGAACAACAGCTGAACCTAGCAGATAGAAGTGGGAGGGTTTTAATTCTGCATTACAGCCTAGCTATGGGGTCTACAGGAAACGGGTGGGAAGTCACCAGTCTTTGAGCAAACGGACCGCAATGTAAAGAAGCCGAGAATCAGTTGGGAACTTCACAGGCCCTGCCAGGCAAATCAAGTGCTTCGGCCAGGGATGATGCAAAGGCAGCGAGCAAGACTCAACCGATGACAGCAAGAATGCTCCATCTGTCATGTCACGTAGGGCGACATAGGGACTGGCCAACACCTAGCAGAAACCAAAGTTGTCCTCGCTTCGGAGTTTGCAGATGCTGTTTCCTTATCTCAAGTCCCCGACGTTTTGTATCAAGATAATTCAAGATAACTGATGATTCTACCGCCACCGTGTTGAAGGCTTCAAGGGTGTGCGTGGCGGTATACAGCCGGGGTGTAGACCGAATGCACCTGGGATGTGCACGACCAGCGCAGTTGCATGGTCCTTGGACACAGGATCGTGTGGTCCGGGCTTTGCTGGAAGGCGGGGCCTTGGAAGAGGCGCGGGCAAAGGGGTGTCTTGCGGTGTCTTCGTTGAGGCTCAACAGTTTGACACTTCCACATGGTTGCCCGAAGGCCATTGGGTAGAGAGACCGGCAAGAACTGGCCCATGCCCACGTCAGGAAGGTGTGGACTACGTGGACCTTTACGGCGAAACGCCGTTGCATGTGGCCACGCGCTATGGGAATTTGGAGGCCCCCCTGATTTCCATGTCGAACGCGAGATCATCATCATCATCATCATCATCATCACCATCACCGTTATCATCATCATCGTCATCATCATCATCGTCTTCATCGTCATCATCATCATAACCACCATCGTCATCATCATCATCACCATCATCATCATCATCTTCGTCATCATCATTTTCTTCATCATCACGACTGGTATTCTTCTGTGAACCTAGGACAGCATGGTCTGCTTGATCGTTTGAAGATAATGATCCAACCCGTGACCCGTTCATTTCCGAATACAAATTCCAACGACGTGGATTATGATTCACTGCACTTGCTTGAAAGCTGAAGCCTGCACCATCACCTCCATGTCACATTGGATGTCGTGTTGAAAGTGCGGGTTGCGGTGTTTTTTGAGTTAAGCACCGGGTGCGTGTGGTGCGGTCGGTTTTTGCCTCACTTGCTGTCGCCCAAGATATTTCCGCACACTTGAGCGCGATGCATGTTCCGGTGGGTAGCTTTGAGATACGATAGGTTGCTGCGGAAGATGATCTCGAATCGAGGTGGAACAGTGGTGATGTTGCAAGATGGGTTTTCAACACAGAAAGCCTATTGTAATTCTACGAAGCCCCCCGGAAAATGAGCCGCAACCTGCAAGCTCTCCAATTTGCGCATTTGCCGCTCGTAGGCCGCCCGGCTGTTGGCCTTGGCATGTCCGAGATGGACGGCGACCTTGGACTTTGGGGGGAAGAGGCCGCATTGCCTGGAGGAAGAAGCTGACAGGGACTGTTGGGATTACCGAAAGTGTAAAGGTTGCAGTAAAGTCCTGCCCGGCTTACGCTCGGAGGCTGTGACTCCGACACTCAGGTGAGAGTTAGAGGTTCTTTGCCCTAGATGCGAACCATGAGACGAAATTTCCTTGCTGTTTGCTTCTTAAGCCCCAGGGCCCCCAAAGCCCTGCTAGGGTGCCGGATTCCCCGAAGAGCCTCCGCCAGCGGAGGCCCTGCGATCTGGCCCGATCCGAGGGCCTTCGCATGTCCTTGTCACAAAGCTGGGACTCCTGGGACCCCCTCCAGTTCCAGGCGCCGCTGTGGGGGGTCTCTTGTGCCGTAGGGCCCTAAACCCTAAACTTCCTAAACCCCGGAACCCTTAAACCCTGAACCCTAAAGGCCCTAACCGCTCTTTGAGCTTCGTGGGTTGGGGGTTCTGAGGTTTATAGGTCGCGGGCTTTAGGCACTCAGGTTCACGGTTTGGTGCCTTTTCCCTGGCGGGTCTTGGCCCTGACTTTAGGGAGCCCACAGAGCATGATGTATACATATATATATATATACAATGGATTTTTTCTCACTTGTTTGATGTATACATAAATAAATATAAATATAAATATAAATATAAATATAAATATGTATGTATATATATATATAAAATATACAGGTTATGTAGTGTATCAAGGCTGAGAAGCCTCCGCCTCGGCAGGCTCAGGCCCAGGCAGCAGCGGAGGAGCTGAACTTGCCGGCCTGGAGGAACCCGCCCCGTCGACCGAACGACGCTTTGCTAACCTGCATGGGCCCGACAACATGAAATGTGTCTGTGTATAAAAAACTAATATATATATATATATCTCTATCTATCTATCTATCTTTCTATCTATCTATCTATATCTATATATATATATATATTTATTTATTTATTTAGTTACATACATACATACATATATGCGAAGTATCTGTTTCGGAGTCTGGTAGGTGGCTTAGTGCCACGTGCCGCGCCTCCGGGTTTAGGAACGTCGTTCTTTGGCGTGCGAAGTGCTGGTTTCCATTGCGAAGAAGCTCGAGACGCCAAGCACATGGATAGCCATGAACGCATGGGTAGTTCTCTAAACTAGGGTCCCTCTTAGGAATCCTTCTTTGTAAGGGTGCGGTACTATAGTGGGGACCCAAAAGGGACACTAGTTTAGAGAACTACCCCACACAGTAAAGGTTCGAAGCCGTGGGAATCCGTAACTTCACCATCTCCCCAAACCCTATAAAGCCCTCTCGGAGAGAGCGGGCTCCTATGTTTGGCCGCTCCAGCTCAGGGCCAAGAAGATTGGTGCTCGGTGCCGCTGCACATCTCGAGGACAGCAGCGACCCCGAGATCCTGTGAATCCGGTTTTTACCATTCCAGCAACGGAACCTAAAGTAGTACCAGGACCCTCCTCGTACCCTCACATAAGGGTATAGGTCCCAAATAATGGGCCAGAAAGGTAGCCCTAAGCCGGGCAGACTCGATTGAGGGATCCGTCGAACATCCACGGATGCACAAAGAGCGATGACAGCCAGGAACAAGGAGCTGCTGGTGGCGCCAGGCTTATGTATTTTGAACGCACTTCGTGATCGGAATTTTACTCGCAGGCATCGGCTTTGGCTTCGTTTCGCGCAAGCCATGCTGTGCTGCAAGAGCGCCCATCCAAGGCTCGTACATCGCAGCGAGCTGCGGTGGGGCTTTAGGGCGGCTTTGCCTCACAAAACCAGAGGCGAAAGCATCGTGCTTTCCACATGTTTGCCCAGCCGTTGCCTTCCCTTGCAATCTTGGAGGTCCGAGAAGTCCAGAACCAACCCGAAGAGGAGCGGCTAAAGCTGGAGGACCGAGCTCGGGTGGAAACATTTGCACGCATATTGGGGCGTGAAGACCGCTGCCCCGAAACCAAGCAGCCACCGTGCCGAATCTGCGGGATTCGTGGGGATGTGCAGTTTGTGCCTTCAGCCGCCAGGACCTGGTACAGATTGATCCCTTCGGCCGTGAGGCCCTATCCCGAGAGCTGTTCTTTCTTGGCCCACTGGTGCCTCCACACGTGCTCATCCTAAATACTCGATCCTGAGCTGTGTTACGTTGTTCAACGCAAACCCGAGGTGACCCGGAAAACAGCACAAGGGTAGTAACAATGACAATGACGAGGTTAAAGTGCATGCAGAGACAATTAGTTTGTTCATAAGCATAGCTATAGTCAATCATAGTCATAGTAATAGCAAGAGAATTACTCATGGTAGCACGAATGAACGGACGTTAATTCTTTGTATTCATACTATTGTTCAATTGAATGGTCTTATTCGGGATAGTCTTAAGATGAGCATTAGCATTAACGTTGTCTTTGTATTGCTGCTGTGGTTATTGCTGTTGTTGCTGTTGCTGTTGCTGTTGTTGCTGCGGCTGCTGCTGCTGTTGTTGACCTCGTTGAGTGTACAGGTGCACCTTGTACATGTATAACGGTTTTCTCCACATATAACAAATCGATATGAGCACTCCATTTTCGTCACAGCACTATGCATAGCAAGACGAACAAGCAATGATGACGGACAAGCACTTCTTCGACCCACCTGTGGAGGTGAGTTACTTCGGCCGAGAGCTAAGCCCTTGGCAGAATGCCCCCGCGCTGATCGGCGAGGGCCGCTTCGGGGAAGTCATGGCCTGAGAGGCTCCTCCCCACACGGCCAATGTAGGAAGATTAAGACACCCTGGCCCTGTAAACCCCAAAATAGTAGGCTTCATATGAACCCCAATAAAGACCCAGGGTTAACCAGGTTCCTGCACTATACCGCAGGTTACGAATGCCGTTCTCAATGCTGTAGGGTTTGAGGATGCTGAGAGTAGGAAGCGAAGGCAAAACGAGTTGCCCAGGTCTTCCGCGCGAAGCATCGGCAGAGTGGCTCATGGTATGCGGTGAAGGTGCCTTGTCAAGAGCAGGCGACCTCTTCCCAAGGGTTCTGGAGCTCAGGGAGCTGGAGTGGGTAAAGTGACATGGCTCGTGCGACTGGGACTGCTTCCTTTTGATGATCGGCCTCCTGAGACGACTTGCGAATTGCGTCCGAGCATGGACATAGCACACACACACAGACTTTCTCAAAGGATGTTGGCGCTCATGGTTGGCATATGATGATGATGAAAAAGAACATGAGATGGAGATGTTGGTGCCAAGCAGGCCAGACACAAAAATGGCAAAAGAACCTAGATGAGATGATCCGTGAGGGTGTGGGTCCTGCCCTCGCTGTGTGAGACCCAAGTGAATCACGGCAGATGACGGTGAAAATGTGGATGATTGCTCCGCCAGCTGTCTCCAAAAACCCAAGCGCCGGTGATACAGGTAAAGTTTTCCTGGGGTGTAGGGGAAAGCTTCGTTGGACGGAGCTCCCCGACACCCCTTCCCCCCCCTGCATGAGAAATGAACATGAAAAAGAAAAAACGAACGTGAAAGTTTCTAGGCTCATGCACGAGGACAGTACGTACGTACGCACACACACACACACGCACACACACACACACACACACACGCACGCACGGAAGACATGCGTTGGGAGGAGGCAGGTTCGGAGAAGTCCCTGGAGCCCACGTGTCGTCATGCGCCAGGAGCCTGTGCCATGAAGCAGAGAAAGCCGAAATTGCAATCATCATCTCATTCACAATACGCATGTCCGATAACGGTCATCAAAGCAACCAGGACCCTAAACCTTTGTTGCAGCCCCCATCCGAGGTGTTCAAGACACAACAGCGGCCTGTCGCTCCGGAGGTGGTGAGGGAGTGTGAGGCGCTGGCCTGGGTTTCCGAACTAGAGGTCTGATTTTCGGTTTAAGGGTTTAGGGTTTAGGGTCCTAGGTTTTCGCACTGATGCCTGTCTTGGCTCACAGGGTATGTATGATGCAGTCCCAGCAGACACGATTGTCGTCACAGGTGGGGACGCATGTCCGTCAGACTCCACATCCCTGCATCGTTCGGCTGCACATGGTGAACTTGGACGACGTAGGACTGCTCCGCTGAGAGGCGAAATCGTCCGAAATACCCCAAGGTGGAAGGCAATGAAGTAGCATTCCACAGAGGACTCTATACTCTTGTGATGGAGTTCTGCCATACAAATCTCCTACAGCAGCTTCGTCAATCCAAGCGGGGGCGCGGAGCGGCCTTCAGGCACAGGACTTTAACGGCAAAGAAGCTGAGCTTTCGATGAGACTTATGGTGGGACTTTTGTGCCACGTCAGGCCTCCGGCACAAACTCTCGACTGGGTTGGTCAGATCTTCCTTGCCTTGGAGCACATGCACCACAGGCGCCGCGCGAGCAACGGGCTCCATTGCCCCCGAGCCCCGCAGACCCAAACATCCTCATAAAGAGGCTACTGCACTTAAAAAAGAAACATCCCTAGTTTCAACTGCGGGTCAGGCTCAACACCATGTTCCGGGACTTGAAGCCTGTGTCCTGGCTGATAGGGTAGTGGATAGTGAACCATCGGATAAAACAGGGAGGTGTAAGTGGTAGTAGTTTTCTTAAGTTAGGGTCCCTTTACTTAGGGGTCCTGTTAGTAAGGGTGCTGAGGTGATGCCCCAGCAGGCTGAAAAGAAACCAGTGGAGTCGCGAGTTCCCTAGCCTCTAAGCCTGCCATGGCACACCGAATGCGGAGACGCACTTCTTTTACACAAGCAAACAAGACAAATC